GAAATGAAGCTGGAGATCACATGGCAGAATTTTCCAAGACCAACAACTTATTCATAGCAAATCTTTTTTCAACAAAAACTATACACATGGACTTCTCCAAATGGAATACAAAGAAATCAAACAGACTATATCTGTGAGAAGATGATGGAGATGCACAATAGCAGCACCTAAAACTAGGCTGACTGTGGACAGAATCCTACTTGTTTATCTATAAGTTTAGTAAAAGAGCTGACTAGAAAAATGTAAAGGGCAGCTCAAGAAGACAAAGTAAAATATTATAATAAAATGTGCAAAGACCTAGAGTTAGAAATTCATAAAGAAGAACATATTCAGCATATCTTAAATGCAAAAACTCAAGAAAACATTCAAGCCTCAAATTGCAATATTGAAAGATTCTATGGGCAAAATATTGAACGATGCAAGAAACCTCACTGTACTAAAAAGTAGTCAATATGCTGCCACTTCAGGAGGTAGCATATGAGCAAGAACTAGTGGTGCACTGTACTTCACTTGCCATGTAAAAAGTTAACCTTGTCAAAGGAGGTAGCAATATTCAATCTTATGTATTGTACATCTCTAGTGGTGCAGCATTATTGGTTTGATTTTCTTTAAAAAGCATTACTGTGAAATGCATCATGGCTCCTAGACGTAGCAAAAGTAGTGAATACAGCAAGAGGTAAAGGAGAAATTATCAATTTGGAAATGAAATGAAGATTCTAAACAATATGCAGGTGGAAAATTAGTGAATGTTACTACTTGTGATCTAGACATGTTGCCCTTGACAATCTTTTCTTTTTAAAATCATTTTATTGGGGGCTCTTATAGCTCTTCACAATTCATCCATCCATCCATTGTGTCAAGCACCTTTGGACACATGTTGCCATCATCCTTTTGAAACATTTTCTTTCTACTTGAGCCCTTGATATCAGCTCTTCGGTTTCCCCCTTCTCCATGAACCCTTGATAATTTATATTTTCTCCATGACTTACATCAACCACTGTCTCCTTGCACCTTCTGTTATCCATCCCCATAGGAAGGGGTTATAGGTAGATCATTGTGAACGATGCCCCCATTCTCCCCCACCTTCCCCTTCCCCTCTTGGTATCATTATTCTCATTATTGGTCCTGAGGGGTTTATCTGTCCTGGATT